TAAACTTTATAAATTTTTTCGTATTTCTATAGCTATAAAATAAAATAAAAAATAATAAAAATAAATAAGGTTAAAATAAGAAGACTAAAAATAATAATTTTGGAATAATTTTGTCTTATTTCCATAAAGTAATTTTTTTTTTTTTGACCTAGTAAAATTTTCAAATTTTTAATTATTTTTTATGTAGTTGCTCTTAGAAAACAATTATTCATGTTTTAGAAAAGGTTTGCATGAAAAACTAAAAAATAGAATCACACTAATATAAATATATGTATATATATATATATATATATATATATATATATATATATATATATATATATATATATATATATATATATATATATATATATATATATATATATATATATATATATATATATATATATATATATGTATATATATATATATATATATATATATATATATATATATATATATATATATATATATATGTATATATACATATATATATTGTAGGAATATCTTAATATTTCCAGTAAGAGTGCTCAATACAGCGTGTTATATAATTAGTAGAGCAAATATAGTGAAAACTAAATAATTATTAAGATATATTTCAATTACATAACTAAAAGTTTCACGCAATAGCAATCATCAGATGTAACAATAACAAAAAAGTAACGACAAAAATTATATACAAAAAATGCTATGGAGTGTATGCTTTGATGACATTAAAGTTCTTTATTAGAAATTTATTTTCATGGCAGCATTTTGACCCAAGCTTGGTTCGTTTGTTAAGCAAATTTAATGGTTTATGTCAAGCATTAATTGCAAAATTTACCACCAGGTTTGAATGGCTCCGCTTGATCAAGAATATTTCATTTTAATAGAGGTTTTATATAGTGATGTGCCGGGTACCTGGTTCGAACCCGGGGACCCCGCAATTTGGCTGTTTTACCGGGTACCCGGTATCGACCATTTTGTTGCAGTACCCGGCACCGGGTATCTTCAAATTAATTTTTTCCTTAAATTTAAACTTTAACCATTAAACTTCTTGATATAAGTCTAAAAATGTTATGTAGTCGAAAACCACAAAGTTCTATTAATTTAAAACAATCTCACTTAAAATATTTTTTTAATAAATTTTTGCAAAAAAATTTATACGGATACAAAAACTGGAACGCTAAATGAAATAATTCGAAAATACAAATAAAAAGAATGGGAAAAAAGTTTTAGAATAGCTTCTTTTTATTCTGTTAAAACACAAGATAATTTTTAGCAATTTAGTTTTGAATGAAATGCTTATAATGCTTTCGAACGCTGATAGACTTTTCATTCGTATCAAGCAAAAATCATAAAAGTAGAGATATAAGGTAAATATTATACACATTTTTTATTTTTTAATTTCAATAATAATTATAACAAAATATTATTTAGGCCCGCTCCACCAGGAAAGAAAAATAATTTTAAACTAAATATAGTTATTAAAAAACTGTTGCACAACATTTGAAAAAAGTTAGGCCCTACAACTCAGGCCCCTTACCCTGTATTGCAGGGTTTTGCTAAATGGTACTTCCGCCACATAACTTTTGGTTAGTTAGCGTAAAAAGCGTATTTTGTGTGAATAGTTCAGCGCTAGAGATTTCACAAGATTTTATCCCAACTTTTTAAAAATGGGCCGAGTACCCGGACTCGGACCCAGTTTTTTCAGCCGGGTACTTGGAATCGGAGACTCGGCATAAACTGGTTCCGGCACATCTCTAGTTCTATACCTTTATTTTTGCATTCCCACACAAATTTCGAAAGTTCAGAGGAGTGGGCCTTACTTTCATAAACAAAGGAGTTTTTATGCTTATACCACCTGTCTTTGAACTTTTTCTCAGTAAGTCCAACGTAATAATATCCTTCTTCTTCTTGGTGAATTTTTGCATTGCAAATATAAATAAGATTTTTTGTAAGGCATTTTCCATTGAGTTGGCATAAGGTGGTTTTTCGACAATTCATAATTGATTGGCATTTTCATGAGAACTAAATAATATCTTTTTATTATGAGAAGTAATAATACTCTTGATGTTTAGAAGGCAGCTATAACTAACTTTTAAGTTGTTTTGATTAAAAAGTTTGTGAAATTTGTGGCCTTTCGGAAAACATTAATCAATTGTACTCAAAAATGTTTTAGTTACAATTGTTCTGACGTTGAGTAAATAAGGTGGGTTAAACCAGATAATGCTTCTTTTTCAAGATTTTGTATTATATTTCTGGATATTTGAAATGAAATTGATCTTTGATTCCACAAGAATCTTTGAATCCACAAGGGATCTTTGAATCCACAAGAATTGAGAGCGTTATTATAAAATGTGGTGGCTCTGTCAAAAGCTTCTTTGCGTGAAGATATATTACTGATATGGTTAAAGATCATTTTTGGTATCGATTTAATAATGCTTGGTGGATGATTGGAATTGATGTTAATTTATAAAGGATTATCTCCTGGTTTTCTATAAGGTTTAAAAGAGTTCTCAAAAAGGTTAAATGTGATATCAAGATGAGTAAGTAATAAACAAATCTAAAAAACAAAGTTTTGACAGAGCCGAATTATGTGAACTAGTTGGCCTCTATATCTTATACACTATTGCCAAAGAATATGGTCTTAATACTACCGGTCTATATAGAGATGATGGTCTTTGCTGCTTCTATAATATGAGTGGTCTTCAATCGGAAAAAATAAAGAAAAATCTAATAAAAATTTTTAAAGACAATTTTAGTCTTACATCACTATCAAACCAAACTTAAAAACCGTAAATTTTTCTTGAACCATACTAAATGTTCATGCTTAAGTCAAATTTTTTTATGATATTCATTCAAGCATCATAACGTTTTCTAAAAAAATTGTTTAAAAGAATGTCTCATTCAAATTTTTTAACTATTTTAGTTTATATTTAGCTCGCTTTTTATTAAAACGATTATTTTATGAATATTTTTTTGTTTTTTGTTTTTACTTATTTTATATACAAAAGTTTACTCGCTACATTTGATGTATGTATAGTGTCCATCATTTTTTTTTAGTGCACATTATACACTTAAAAAAATATCGTAAACACTATTGGAATGACTACATTAAAAATTTCAAATTTCTTAACTGATATGATACAACCCATCCTCAATAAGCACAATACACATTTAAAAACTCTCAACAATTTATAAACTTAGCTAAATCATGGAATATTGGAAAAGCTGAAATCCAAGTGTCTTTGATATTATTAATTTATATCCTTCAGTCCCAGTAAAGGAAGCAATAATTGTCCTTATTGAGATATTAAAAAATGTTTTACATCAAAATTTACCTTCGATCAAATAAAAGCACTTTTAGATGCCTTTTGCATTGTAATTTTTTATATGAACACGGCATTTATGAATTAGAAGATTCTGGACCTATTGCTTTAGGACTTATGATAGTAGATGCAGAGTGTTTTCTACTGTTTCATGAAAGTAATGGTATTGCACAGGCGGTTTCCAATAATGTTCATGTAAAGTCATTTAAAAGATATGTCAATGACTTCTATTTTCATTTTAACTCTACTAAAGATGCAGAAAACTTTTTAAAATTACTTAATAACCAACATAAAAATATTCAGTACACTATGAAAATTGAAAATGAAAATAACACACTAAACTTTATTGACATAACTATTATTAACAATAAAACTGGTACGTATGATTTTAAAGTTTATTGTAAAAATGTCATAACCAATGTCCAAATCAAACCTAACTAATGCCAAGATCCAAAATTTATAAACGGAGTTTTCAAAGTATTTTTTCATAGGGCATTAAATTTATGCTCTGATAATAATACCGAACAAGAGTTACAATTTCTAATTGATGTTTTTGTAAAAAATGGTTATAAAAAAACAAGCCTGGAAAATGTTATAAAAACCACTAAAGAAAATTTACACAATAAAAATTACACAACAAAATATTAAAACTTAATATTTATTGATTTCATCAAAAAATATTCTATATCGTGAATTCCAGGAATCAGCCCGAAGTTAAAAAAAGTTTTCAAAAAAGCAGGTTACACACCAGTCTTTAAATCACCAAAAAATTTACAACATATACTTACTACAAAAAAATAAATCTCTTCCTATAAATTCTTACCCAGGTGTGTACAAACTTGAATGCTCCTGCAAAAAATATTGTATTGGTTAAACAAAATTAAAAATCTGGCAAAATTAAAAATCTCTCATCTCGCATTTGTCAACATCAAAAACATGTATACGAAGGAAAATGGGATTATTCAGCAATATTGGAACGTTAAAAAAATTATTATGGTAATTTTACAGAGAGCAATAAAAATTCTTTAAAAATAGAGGTCAATAATTTTAACAGAAAAGTAAGGGAGGCACTTAAAATACAATGCCATGAATGTGCTCCTTTGGACGGCAGTCTAAATTAGGATGACGGAGGTCACAACTTCCATTTGGAAACTTATATTTTGATACTTGAATTAAAAGAAACTATTGCATTAATTTGTTTTTTTTTTTTTGTTTGTTTGTTTTTAATAGTTTTTTATATATATATAATACTTGATTATGAGGGTATCTATTGTGACTGTATATATAATGTATTTATTCTTTAATTATTATGCTAATATAGTTTAAAAAAACTTGGTTATGAGTATCATAACCAAGTTTTTTTAAATTTATGACTGATTTTTTTCATTTCAAAGTGTAAATGTTTTTAGTTTGCTACTTTATTTTGTAGATTTTTCTATTTGCTTCTATGTTTATCTATTTGTAATAAGTTTGTTTTAAGGGGCCAGGATTTAGTTTGATCATAGGGGCCAGGATTTAGTATGAGGAGGGGTACTGTAGTTAAGGATACTACTTAATTTCTCAAATATTTATTTTATTCATTTTTACACCCTTTTTTCAATTTCTAAATGTCTTTTTTTTTTGTAACTTTGAAACACAAACTTTAGCAAACAAAGTCACAGTGCTGAAAAGACAAGTTGATGGTAAATCAAAAATATTTGTTTGTTATAGGTATTGATATTCAAGATGTCTCAATTGGGTTTGGTCTCAAAAAAACTTTTATTTTTCGAGTATGGGATTTTGCAGGACAAGAAGAATATTTTGCAACCCATCAATGCTTTTTATCTTCTTGTTCTTTATACTTATTGGTTTGGGATGCAACTAAAAAGAGCAAGTGCATGCAATTTCTTAAACCATGGTTTGAGAACTTAATAGCGCGTATTAAAGTATTTTATGTCATTATTGTTGTTACAAAACTTGACCTTATTAATGAAAACGTTAATAATGCTTGTGAAAAAATAATGAATGAGATTGAAGAAATTTTTGAAAAAGTTCCTGCTATTAAAAATATGAGAGCCAAAGATAAATATTTTTCTAGTAGAGTAAAAGTATCATTTGTTTCTTTAAATCCAAAGTTTCCAAACTACAATAAAGGTAGGTTTAAAAATTTGTTTTTTATGTTTAATTCAATTAAAATTCAATTGAATTCTTAATGTACAACTTTGAATTTTTAATTCTTATATATGTGTATATATATATATATATATATATATATATATATATATATATATATATATATATATATATATATATATATATATGTGTAAATATATATATATATATATATATATATATATATATATATATATATACATATATATATATATATATATATATATATATATGTATATATATATATATATATATGTATATATATATATATATATATATATATATATATATATATATATATATATATATATATATATATATATATATATATATATATATATATATATATATATATATATATATATATATATATATATATATATATATATATATATATATATATATATATATATATATATAAAGAAACATGGTTTTTCCCATAAACTGTAGTTTTTAAGAGAGCAGTAATAAACCAGATCAGAAATAGTTTAAAAACTTGAATAATTTTTTTTTTTTAAATTAAATGATAGACTGCTCGCCCTAACTGAAAATTTAATGAAAAAATTATTACAGTACAAAAAAATTGGTTCAAAAATAAAAAATAAATGCATTAAAATAATGTCCACAGTAGGTCCAAAAAACAACTTTTTTAAAAATAATCTGCTCTCACCCCCTAAATGTGTTCTATTTAATACAAAAACACTAAGTTTAATTTTTTTTTCAATAAAAAATAATTTAAAGGGTCCCTCAAGACCCTTGAATATTTAATGGGTCCCTAATATTTTCAAAAAAAAAGTTTTTAAAAATTATGTCAAACTGGTACTCAAATGAACCGAAATTATATAAAAATTTCAAAAATAATGTTCATTTCGGAAAAAACGATACGTACTTAAACAATACTTTTTTTTTTAACGAAATCGGCAATTTTTTTACAGAAAATTGTTTTTTGTTTTAGCAAATATTGTATATTATAAGGGAAATATCATTACGTATTATTTTTTCCGAAATAAACATTATTTTTGAAATTTTTATATAATTTTGGTTCATTTGAGTACCAGGTTGACATAATTTAAAAAATTTTTTTTTTTTGAAAAAAAAGGGCCCCATTAAATATTCGAGGGTCTTGAGGGACCCTTTAAATTATTTTTTATTGAAAAAAAAAATTTAAACTTAGTGTTTGAGCCAAGTTCTTTAAAAAAATTTAAAAATGAGTAAAAAAGTAGCAAGTTGTTAAGTTTTCAAGTTTTAAATCAAAAGTAGCACCAAGTTGTAGCACCAAAACTATTAAAAGTACAAAACAATATCAAAATACTAGTATTTTGTTGAACAGCCCTTGTTCGCAATGACAGCTGCCTAATTTTTCTTTATTGAAGTAGCATATTCCTGCACACTTCAGGGGTTATTTATGTCACCCACACTTTTTTAATAACTTCTTCTTAGTCAGTAAGGCTTCCAGGCTGCTTTTCTGATACTCGAACTTTCATCATGTTCCAAAAAATTCTCTATCGGGTTAAGGTTGGGTGAATCGCCGAGCAATCTAACACATCAATACGACTCTCCTGAAACCATTTCTTACATACCTTAGCTGTATGGCATGTTGCATAGTCCTGCATAAATAAGTGCATTGCAAGATTGTCAAAAAGTTGGGTAGTTTTGATTTTAAGATACACAAATATCTGGCAGCATTCATGCGTTCTCGCTTTCCTAAAAACTCTATCGCACTGCGACCATTTCCACTGAAACAACCCCAAATCATAACAGATGGTGGATGTTTCATCGTTTTCAAAGTATATTTGTCATCATAACGTTTTTGGCTTGGTCTTCTAACATGTTTTGCAGTTATTCCAAACTGTTTAAAGGTAGATTCATCTGATCAGAGAACCTTCATCCAATTTTCCTCTGTCCAATCTCAATATTTCAGAGCAAACTTCAATCTTTTTTCTTTTATTTCTGGTGTCAATCTTGGTTTCTTTGCTGGACGATAGGACTTGAGGCCACATTCTATCAACCTATTTCTTATAGTTCTGGAAGAAACATTTACATTGCTGACATCGATGAGCATTTTCCGAACAGTCGCTGAAATAATAAATTGATTTTTTTGTAACTATTCTGCAAATGCTTCGATTTTCTCTTAGGGTGGTCTTCTTTGGCCGTCCTGTTCTCTGATTGTCAGTGAACAATTTTCATTGAAATGTTTTGTTGCACTGTTTACAGCAGTTTTAGAAGTCTTTAACAATGCTGCAATATCTCTTTTGTTTTGCCCAGCTCGGCTGTACGCAACAATCTGTGCCTGTTTTGTTGGTGACAAGTTCTTTGCTTTGCCCATTTCTTATGCAATCTTTAAAACAAGAACAAGGTGCGTTTTTAAACAGAAATAATACAAAAGAAGGAAAAAACAGACAAATTTTAATTTATAATACATACTAATTTCATTATTATTACGCTCTTTAACATTATGTGCACAAGCTATTGATTTACAATAAAATACTGTAAATATAAAAAAAATTATTTAAAGTTGTTTATATAATTCAATTCTTTTGCTTAACCGAAATATGCTTTAATTCATTATGTTGCTAAGGGCAACAAACAGCTCAGCAAAAGAGACAAATAATTGTGCAATTTAAGAAATATAAGCAGTTTTCTAATACAAAATTACTTTAAAATAGCATTGAAATTACACAAAAATTTTATCTTCTTACCTAGATAAAAATGATTTCCGTGAAATTGTACACCTATTATTTACAGAAATTGACCAGCGATAAACAGGAAATTGTGTTAACTAGCTATGGTTTCCAAATAAAAACTTATACACGCTCAATTTTATTTTAGGCACCAAAGTATAACATTTATACGCGGTGGTCTTAAACTTTTTTCCAAGACTGTAGCAACACTCCCTTGTAGCAGCAGGCTATAAGATAGTTGGTGTAGCAACACTCCACGCATGTTTTAAAAATATATTTTAATAAAACAACACAAAAAAAACAAACTATTAATTAAAAAAAAACTTTCTAATCATTATTATTGCGGTTTTATTAAAAAACAATAAAATACAATGTACTTCTGCATTAATTTAATTGCTTTGACATTTAGACGACAATAGGTAGAGGTAGAAAAATTTTAGACTTTTTTTACATTAAAAGTCTTTTTTCGGAAATGTCATAGTGGCAAAAGATGAACTTTATATGTGCAGCAGTGCAGTGCAGGCATTGAGATCTGTTGCAAGGACATGCCCCTGACAAGTGGTGTTAGTGCAGGTCTTGGGCTCACCAAAACGTCATTGGTGATCACAGTGCATTCCTGAGGAGGGGGATCACCATTTATCCACTACTTAATTCTAATTGGTTATTATGGCACTAACATTTTTTTACCTCTTACATCCATGAATTTTAGCGCTTTGTGAGCTTTTTATTATGCATTTGTTATATTAACAACATTTAAATATTTTTATGTTACATAGGTGATTATCAGTTTTCGATTTATTATCTAGAGTTTAGATCATAATTAGTACCACATTTAGTAGCCTATTTTTTTTTTATATTACCCAAACTATAATTTATTATCATTTTACTTACCATTTTGTTATCTACATATTTTATTTTATTGTTTTTGTATGGTGCAGTAATTTTAGCCATGGTTGCCATTAATAAACCAGCGGATATATATTGAGTTGTTTACTCAGAGCATTGTCTTATCATTTGCTGGCTGACCAGAGTGTGAGTTATGGTTCACTATCTTCCTGAGTCATTAAATTTTATTTCTCCTATTAAATATTCTTTCCATTTATTTATGTTTTTTACCTACATGACATCATCTACAATCTGATTCTATAATCACACCTCCCAGTTCTACGTAACTGGGCGGCTCCATTGGTCACTTTTTGCGATCTTTGTGTATATATTATTGTATTTGTGTATACTTTAAATATAAAACATTTTTATAAATGTACATTTTTTATTCAAAGAAAGACTATTTAAAGGTTTTTTATCCATGTTTTTTTATATTTTAATCAATTTACTACAACCATTAAATTTGCTTCTCCATCTTCTTTTGTTTCTGAAAGTTTTAATGAAGTCTTGACTAAAATTAATAGCACGTTTTGCACCCTAATGTAGAATAAGAAGACCAGTGACAAGTTTTTAAAAATCTCTTTTAATCTGTAAATAAGTCCCAGTTTGATGATCTGGCTTTCAGCCATTATATCTTATGTAATGTAATTTTTAATAAATCAAAAACCAGTTTTCAGGTCAAAAAAATCTTTAATTGTTATATAACTTGCAGGTTTTTCTGTTTGAGCTAATTTATGTAATTAGTTCACAGATAAAAATTTGTTAAATAGGCACTTACCTTCAAATATTTAATTTAAATAGCGCATATTTCATAAATCAGCTTATCTTATTGCAATGATATTATATTGGGACACAAACTTCTGACTTGTGGCTGAAGAAGATTGTATGTTAAAAACAAATTACCTGTGACATAAATCTGGCATGGTGTGAAGCCATCGAAAATTTTAACTTAATTTTATCTTAACTTGATCTTAATTGTTTCAGCCTTAAGATATTTATATTAAGATATATAAAGATATCCTTAGAAATTAAATAACCATCAATGCTTCACAAACTGTTGTTTATAACAGAAATTTTGCACTCAGTGCAGCCAAACCTATTCCAAACTGTAATTCAGTTAAAGCTAAATTTTTCTCAATACTTTTTTTTTTTTTCAATCATTGATAAAATATAATATGATAATATTTTTATAAACTTTTCTCAATACTTTTTTTTTTACAATTATTTATAAAATAAAATATGATAATACATCTTCTTGTCTATTTTTTAAAACTTTTATCTTTCAAATAATATCTTTACAGTTTTTTTTTAATTTTCATCAAACACATTTTTCTCTTTTAAAAACCACATTTTTGCCTAAATATTTTTATGTTTGTTTAAATTCTTTCTATTCCTTTTTAAGTCAACAACCTTGTT